AGTACACAATCAGGTTTGCAACACAAACATTTCTATTTAAGAAGAAACATGATAACAATGGAAACATTAAACATATTTATATGTCCATTTTTTTAAATAAAAAAATTGATCTATATATATTAAATTATAATTACATTATGGTACATAATTTAATAAGGTAAAAAAAATAATTAAAAATTATATTTAATTTCAGTTAATTTATATTTTTCCTAGGCTGGTTTCAATTGATGACATAATATATTATTTTATTTAACTGAAAAATAATTTGAATTTATTTGTGGACGTAAAATTACCGTAATAATATAGAGAAGTAGGTAATCCAGATTTATTTGCCTAATTTTGTTGTCTCGGATTTGATCGCGACCAATTTTCAGCGTCAAAGCATTTGGTGTATTCTCCTATAAGTTCGTTTATTAAAAAAAAAAACAAGTTTAAGTGCTCTCATTCTTATACAATAAACAAGAATAAGACATTTGAATAAATATTTATTTTCATTGAACGGGATAGAAATAACTTTTTAAAAAAAAAAGACTAAAATTGTTATCGCTATCTGGAATGAACATCACTAATCTGCAAATTGATTGTAAATATTTCACTTATCAAGCCATTACGTGAAAGCAATTGAATGCAATAGGAATAAGGTGTTCTCTTTATGACGAACTATTACGAAACAATAAAAAAAAAGAAAGTAACTTCTTAAAATTGGGGAAAAAAACTTTAAAATGTAATATCGAATCAAGATGTTTTAGCGAGTAGTTGATATTACTAGAAATTACTACATTTATAGAAGGCACCAAAACAGGCAACTCATGCAAAAGCAATCATTCAGTAAAGGACACAAACGATATATTTCTTTTGGCAACATGGTTAGCCTGCATTTCAGCAAACCTCCGTTCCAAACCTCCAATTGCACGCATTCCAGTTTCAGCAACAGATTAAGACCATGGCAAGATGGTGATCGATTGTATAAAGGACAACATACAACTCCCAATCAAAAAAGAAATGACTAGAAGTTCTCAAAAATTGAGGTAAGTCATCAGCTGCAACTTCCACATGACATAAATCTTCAGTAGAGGCGGAAGGAAGACTGAAAACCTAAGTGTCAACCAAGTTTTGTTTTGAGAAAGAATCTAATTTAAGGGTCGTAAGAATGTATGTCGCTAAATGAAATAAATGTAAATGATTAATACCTACATGGGTTAAGTTTAAGCATGCTTTCACCTGGTAATTATTCGAATTTGAATTAAACTCTTGCTCATTTTGACGGTACCGTTGTGCATCTTCTAATAAATGATATTTGGTATCCGAGGTTACTGGCCTGTCTCTGACAAAAAATAAATAAATTATTTTTAAAGTTTTAAGAACTGTATGGCTTTTAAATTTGAAGGATATTAATAGTTTTTAGTCCAATGTATGAATGTTTGTATGTATGCATGTATGTATGTATGTATGTATGTATGTATGTATGTATGTATGTATGTATGTATGTATTTATAAATGTATGTATGTATGTATTTATAAATATATGTATGTATGTATGTATGTATGTATGTATGTATGTATGTATGTATGTATGTATGTATGTATGTATGTATGTATGCATGTATGCATGCATGCATGCATGTATGCATGCATGCATGTATGTATGTATGTATGTATGTATGTATGTATGTATGTATGTATGTATGTATGTATGTATGTATGTATCTATCTATCTATCTATCTATCTATCTATCTATCTATCTATCTATCTATCTATCTATCTATCTATCTATCTATCTATCTATCTATCTATCTATCTATCTATCTATCTATCTATCTATCTAT